ACCCACTTTGATGCATTTTTCAAATTTCGCCTTGGGGCGGAGTTATCTTTTCACAGTGGGGGTAAGTTACACTTTAAAGTCTCACTGCAGCTTTAACAGCCCTTTTAATGGTGAAACTAATAAAAGCTGCTTCTTTTTTATTGAATAATTCACTATAGATGCATAAAACAAGACTCTACATGTCAAAGAGGTGGATTGTTTAAAACCTGTTTAATAACTTTGTACACATTAGCAGAAAATTCTTAGCATTAACAAACAGTAATAGCCTGTATGCCACGGACATCCGGTCCAGCACTTGATGCCACTCCCAACACTTCCAGTTCACGGTGAATACAGTGTTAGCGAAAGATTTTTTCACCTGACAATGACTCTTAATGATCTCCACGGTACAGAATTAGCATATTACATGTACCAACATTAACACAGGACACGTACAGGTCCAGACAAGTGGAAAAAAGTCACTCCAAAGTGGATTAAAGACATAAAAACAAAGGAAAGACGTTCCTGTTTATGGTTCCAGAATTTAGCCTTTTTCATTATTCCTTGGCTGCTTGTTTTGTGAATTTTTCCCGTAGAGCTGTGACACTTATATTGTTGGAAAGAGCAGAGTCTGGGCTTTAAATTGATGGGCTACTTGTATGGTTTGGATCATTTCCCCCGACGTTAGTGAACTGAAAACTTAATGATTATCAGGCAGAGGTTCTGCTGCTCTCGGTGCTCGGGGTGGGCGCTCGTCGCTCGGCTTTAGTCTACGCTGTAATATACACTCTRACAAGGTTTTACTTTTGCATAAAACTCATGACAAAGTCACATAAAAACATTTCATACTCTGTATAACACAAACGCACACACACGCCTACCTTTGTACCGGCTGCTGTATTAGCTTCCTGCTAGCTGTGAGGAGGTCTTTCCTCGTGTCTTGGCAGTAAAAGGGGATAAATGTACATTTCCCTTTTGTAACCTCCATCTTCTCATCTCTGAAGCTGGCTCTTGAATATCCTCAGGTTAGAAATGCTGATTACTAACACAAGCGTGAGCTTTTAAAGATCAGTTTTCCCTGTAATGCTATGATCCACAGCTGTCACCTCCTCATCAAGAGGAAAATGGATAAAAACTAACTACTCGATCGTACCTGCTGGTTAGTGGACACAACGACACACAACAGAACTCATGTTTTATACCAGTGGATCACAGATGCTTTAACTTTTGTGACTTTCATGGACTTTTACTTGGAGCTAACTCTAAAAACAAAGGCAGTAACCAGGAAGTGGAAGGGAGGAGCGTGGCTGGAATTTCGCCGGAAATATGCCATTAATGACCGTGGCATATAGGCAATTAGATGATGATCAAAATAATGTTTGCATCATCTGGGCCAATAAAACAACAACGTATATGAGGACTTMTGTTTGTCTTCAGGAGCCCAAAATATTTAACCCAAGTGGTAGTTTGCGGATTACGGTGGTTGACTGCGGAATCAAGTATAACCAGATCCGCTGCCTGGCTCAAAGAGGAGCGTGTGTCACTGTTGTTCCGTGGGACCACCCGCTCGACATCAACGGTCAGTAATCTGCTTCTTTCTTTATCTTGCAACATTTATTTGGACTTAATGACATCTGTTATAAATAAAAATATGTGAGTTTTTACTTTGGTTTCTCCTATTTTCAACCAGTTTTGACTTATCTTGTCCAACTGGCAGGTTAATAAATTACATTAACACACATTTACATGTAAAAAGGAAAAATTAGGTTAACTATAGTTAAGTTTCTGTTCAATAAAGCAGCATTTCTATCATTTTCCTCAGGTTTTGATGGTTTGTTCATCAGTAATGGTCCCGGGGACCCCCAGTTCTGTCAGGCCACCATCAACAATGTGAGGAAGGTGGTCAACGTGGATCAGCCAAAACCAGTTTTTGGGATCTGTCTCGGACATCAGCTGATTTCGTTGGTCATTGGAGCCAAAACCTACAAGATGAAGTGAGTTATAAACAGAACGTTAACATAAACCAACACCTAAAAACTGTCAAATCAGGATTTTCTGTGGATTTAAAATTAAAATTTAGTTTTTGGGTTAAGATTTTTAAAGAATAATAATCTCTTGAGTCAACTAACCCAGAGTCAAATGTGTTGAGTCATGAATCTACAGGTGGCCGTTATTCTTTTAAAAACCAGACAAAGATAATAAAGTCTTTGAAGTGATGGAAACTCCTGTTTTCTGTAAAGCGGCTGCTGTGTTTCCACTGTCTGTGCTGTGAAAAGCAGGTTTTTGCTGACCTCAGCAGTCCTGCATCTTGGGTTTGAGCAGCGAGCTGAAAGAGGCTAACATAAACACGTTTCTGTGAGTACTTCTGAGGCGAYGGTGTCTGCTGATGGCAGCTTTATCAGACTGCATGAAGGTCGCAGGAATAATGAGTTCCCACTGCTCAGCTGGAATGTTGTTGGCATCTAAACACAAACATTTGTGAGAGTTGATCAGGTTTCATTGCTACAAACTGCAGCTTCAGGTTTGTTGTTTTTACTAAAGAGTAACTAACATCTTGTTTTTGTTTGCATAAATTCCTTGTCATTCTTCAAGGTGATGCCAATTAATATTTTAATGTGATTAAATATATAACAGGGTTGGGCAATATTGGCTAAAAAAATTAATCACGATTAATTGTGGTATTTAGCCGATAACAATTAATTTGACGATTAACCCCCTGGACACCCTTATGTCCTGGTCACATGACCAATTCAGTGGGAAAGATTAGCTCTTCTTAAAAATCTGTTCCAAATCGTGTCAAAATTACAGACTTATATGCACATCAGTTTTTAAATTGTGTTGATAGATAAATAAATTACAGATTTTTTTATTTATTTATTTTTAATTTTCGTCATATTTGAAGTGGAGAGGAGCACCGAGCGGACTCTGCCTGGTGGCATTTAGGGGTGTAAGAAAATATCGATACACTGAAATATCGCGATATTTCATTTCCCGATACTGTATCAATATTCTAAAATCCTGTATTGATTTTTTTATTAATGTTTAAAATGTCAACCTTC